TAGTAATCAGTGAGCTAGTAATAGTATGCAGCACAAAATACTTGTTATTTTAGTAGCTACAATAACTTTTCCACGTCATTTCATGGTTAACATATTGTCATCATTTAGTCCTCCAAAAAGGAATAGGGGGTTTGTATTTAAAAGAGTGGCTATCTACTGGATATTACTATTACTATGCATACCACTACATGGACAAAATCCAGGGTTATATTTGTAATATATATTAATATCCAAATGATTCAAATAGTAAAAATCGAGGTTTCAAAAATTATTTGTAAGATTCCCAGACGAATGAATCCATCATGTTATGTGACACGTACATACATATATTAAACAATAATAGTGATAAAAGTAAGTGTGTAGAAACAATCCAAAAGGTTGATGGAATATTTATTAATAAATGATTATAAATCAAATATTTATATACAGTTTCCAACTATCCGTGAGAAAATCAAAAAGGCTAACCTGACCTCATAAAGCTTGAGGATATGATATATTAAAAAGTTGCATTTCGAAGTACCTGTTATAGAAACTTTTATATATTCAGCATCTTTTCGTCCAAAATCTATATAGATAAAAAATTCGCAATTTGATATATCTAATACAAACGTTTGAAAATGCATAAATTAGTTCTCCAGGCTCACGATGACATTTAATATAGAATTTGCCAAGTTTCAGAAGTAAAGAAACGGGGTTTTATACGTATTATAACCACATGATACACATTTTAAACGCAAATTCCCTGTTTTGTCAATAAATTACACATATATATACTAATTTTCCTGATTGATCTAAGATGGATAACAATTTGCGACGAGATTTGTACCTCTAAAAGGAAAGACTCGGCTGTATACAATAATACAATAGGAAAGGGGAGTGATAATTTCATTTTCACCTATTAATTAGTTTAGCATTTATTATTAGCAATTTATGAATCTCGGGGTGTAAGTGAATAAATATATGCTGACATTGTACATAAAGAAGGAGCTTCACCCAAAGGTTTAGTCATAAATGGAACATAGGGAATAGAGTCGAGTTTGTTTGATGGTATCTTCACAGACATGTCACATCTAGATAATTTTC